TGTCAGGTCCATGCTGGCAACAGTCAGCAAGAACTGATTCTGTAGTTTCCAGCCTTCAGGATCCCCAGGGTTTGGGAATCCATAAAAGCACCCAGCAACGATTTCAGAAAGATTTCGCTCCTAAATTGACTTCTTTTTTTTTTTTTTAAAGAAAGAATCTCACTCTATTGCCCAGGCTGTAATGCAGTGGTGTAACCACGGATCACTGCAGCCTTGACCTCTCCCACTCAAGCGATCCTTCCACCTCAGCCTCCGGAGTAGCAGGGACTATAGGCACGCGCCATCATGCCTAAATTTTTCGTTTTTTGTAGAGTTGGGGTCTTGCTATGTTGCCAGGGCTGGTCTCAAACTCCTGGACTCAAGTGATTATTTTGCCATGGCCTCCCAAAGTGCTGGGATTACAGGTGTGAGCCACGGTGCCCAGCAAGGTCTTTAAATGAATCTAGGTTCCAAGTGACCCTTTTAAAAGACACAGATCCAGCCAGGTGCGGTGGCTCATGCCTGTAATCGCAGCACTTTGGGAGGCCAAGGCAGGCGGATCACCTGAGGTCAGGAGTTCAAGACCAGACTGGCCAACATGGTGAAATCCTGGCTCTACTAAAAATACAAAAATTAGCTGGGCGTGGTGTGGGCACCTGTGATTCCAGCTACTTCGGAGGCTGAGGCAGGAGAATCACTTGAATCTGGGAGGTGGAGGTTGCAGTGAGCCAAGATCACGCCACTACACTCCAACCTGGTTGACAGAGCAAGACTCTGTCTCAAAAAAAAAAAAAAAAAAAAAAAAGACACAGCTCCTTTTAAGAGTTACCAAATGTATTCTAGTGAGTTACTAGAAAAGCATAACTACTATCACGGAGTAACACTGGAAATTTTAAAAGGTGGGAATCTTTGGATTAGCTGTGCCACCTTCTGAGAGGGGGCTGGCGGGGTTGGGTGTGGGCGTCAGAGGAGACAGAGGCCCAGTTAAGGGAAAGGAGAGGCTGCATCACAGACCAATTTTACCTATTTGAGGTACAGAATTTATTCTTTATTTTTGTAGGCTGGCTGGATGACTTGGTGATCAATCCCCTGGTTTATAGATGAGAAACTGAAGACGGACAGTGACTTGCTTAAAGTCACCCAGATGGGGAGCAGTACGGATCCAAGCCTGTGTGGTTCTGAGTCAAGTGCTCTGCACATCATTAAATCATCCTCCCTTCCCTACCCACAAATCCTAGCTTGGAGAGACCAGTAGCACACAGGGGTCAGGACAAAGCTGATGATCCTAGCCAGCAGGTTTTTGGACTGGAGCTGTTCTTAACTTTTCCTCCATTAAGGAGAAGGTGGTTGTCCCTCTCCGGAGGCGGCAAAACCTGAAGCTCATTGACTCTCAGTGGGCAAGAGTCTCACTCTGGGCTCCAGGAATGCTCTGAATGTCAGCTGGAGGTGCAGGAGACTGGAAGGACCCTGTCTACCCTCCCTCCCTTCCCCCAGCTCCTGTCAGTCAAGGAGGAAGTGGTAGGCCTGGTGCCTCCTTAAGATCCTCATCAAACCAGAGACACACTGCTCCATCTACATACCCTTCACCCCACTGCCTGATAGTCAGGGGGGAAGGAGGCCAAATTATCAACTGATCCTCCACTAGTCCCGAAATCAAAACTGCTCCCCTGGGGAAGAGGGTGTGGTCAGTAGGACACACATCATTCCCAAAGGCTCCCCTCTTTACAGCCCTCTGTCAGGATGGCTACCTTTTAAATGTTTTTAGAAGTGGTTCTGGGGCCGGGCGCGGTGGCTCAAGCCTGTAATCCCAGCACTTTGGGAGGCCGAGACGGGCGGATCATGAGGTCAGGAGATCGAGACCATCCTGGCTAACACAGTGAAACCCCGTCTCTACTAAAATACAAAAAAAAAACTAGCCGGGCGAGGTGGCGGGCGCCTGTACTCCCAGCTACTCGGGAGGCTGAGGCAGGAGAATGGCGTGAACCCGGGAGGCGGAGCTTGCAGTGAGCTGAGATCCGGCCACTGCACTCCAGCCTGGGCGACAGAGCGAGACTCCGTCTCAAAAAAAAAAAAAAAAAAAAAAAAAAAAGTGGTTCTGGGAACCTTGCAAAAACTCACAGCCCTCAACTCCTGGGAAGTTTTGTGTTCAACCTAAATCCATCCTGGGCAGGAGTGCCGTTCCTATTGGTTTACTTTCTCTGTTCTCAACCCAACTGGACGAAGCCATTGTGCTTTCTTCAAGAATTCAAAGAGAGGAAGAAGTATCTGTTTTTTCCCTCAAGCCTTCTCTTCTCCAGGAGAAACAACCCCACTCCTTGGGCTTTTCTCAGAGGACATGCTGTTCTTCCTCCTACCCTCTGGCCTCATCATGGGTTTGCCCAGGATAGCCACTGGGAGCCCCTCTACCAACACATTAGAGGAGAAGTGGCAAATGTCACCCACCGACACATCTTGCCCTGGGCTAGTGCAGGTCTCCTGCCAGGTCCCAACCCAGGACCCTACGGCTAGGGATGGTTTTAGTAACCAGCCCAGTGAGGTGGCTCAAGACTATAATTCCAGCTACTCAGGAGGCAGAAGCTGGAGGATCACTTGAGGCCAGAAGTTTGAAACCAGCCGGGACAACATAATCAGACTCAGGCTCTAAAAAATAAAAAATAAAAAAATTAGCGAGGCACGGTGGCACGTGCCTGTAGTCCCGGCTACTCAGGAGGCTGAAGTAGGAAGATCGCTTGAACCCAGGAGTTTGAGGCTGTAGTGAGCTATGATTGCACCACTGTACCCAGCATGAGTGACAGAGCAAGATCTCATCTCTAAAACAACAACAACAAAAAACCAGATTGACTCCAAGGTCTTTTCCCTCAGCCCCAAGTCTTTTCAGGGGAGAGGTGGGCCCTGCTTGTATAACTCTCTCGTCTGCTTCCTCCTTTGCCTTTTGACCACTTCTCTATTACTCCTTTGCTTTGCTGGAATCCCCACCCCTCGACACTATCACTACTTCCTCCCCTTCCAATATTCACTATTATGGGCTTGAACGGAGCCCTGCCATTTCTGCCCCACCCCCACTTGGCCCCTGAGACTCCCACTGTTAGCTCAGGCTTCCAGAGTGGACAACTTTTCTGTCAAGTAGGAGTGAACTCTATCATTGATCCTGTGTGACCACAGATGTTGCTGGCATTAGGCTCAATATGAGCTGTGATGAGGTACAGACAGTGGACAGTTCAAGCATGCAAGCTCTCCATGAAGTATTTCCCTAGAAATATGCAACCTATGGGGGTGAGGGAGTGGGTACTGGCCCTTTTAGAGGGCAAGACAGAGGCTCAAGCTAGGAAGTTTTACTGGCTGATGGCACCAGGAAAAGGGAAGCCAGTTAAAGGCTGTACCTTCCATATGTGAAGGGCAGAGAGAGCCTGGAGAGGTTTCGGGGCCACAGGTAATACGGAGGTGAAAAATGTTACCCTGGAAGCAAAGAGCCACGGGGGCTGGTATTGTCTGGCAAGATATTAAAGGGGCAGGGTGGGAGATAGGGGTGGGATACAGAGTTTGCAGAAATGGATTTTGGATGATCGACTTTTTTCCATTTATACTGAGAACCCAACCAAATGACATGATCTACAATACAAGAGATTTAAATAGGATGTAAGGAAGAATCTGTTAGGAAGTTCTCCCCAGGTGACAAAAGATGGTAGTGGGCTCTCCTTCCTGGGGGAGTGAAATCATCTATTAGATTTTCGCAAATCCAGGTAAGGAACTGTAACATAGGACCAGTCTGGGATATTCAACAGGCAAGAACCCTGCCAGTTGCTCTGGCAGTGCTCAGAAGCTCCACTCCCTGCATGGGAACTGGGGACCAACTCTCTGAGAGAGGGAACCCTCGTTCTATATATTCAAGTCTGGGATATTCAAGTTCCTCACGTCCAAGTTCAGTAAAGTCGGGGGTTGGAACTGTAGTGGGGCACAGTAACTATTCTGTCCCATTCATCTCCCAGGCACCCTCTACCTCGGTCATTAAGAATGGAGATTTCCTTGAGACACACACATCTCCTTTGGAGGATGGGGTAGGGAGACACCAGGAGTTTAGTGCCTAGCCACATGCCAGGCACAGAGCCCCACGAGGGGCACTCAAGTACTTGCAGAGTGAATGAAGGCACCCCTATGGCAGGTCCAAGAGAGCTGAGGCCTACCTTGCTCCTTTCCCCCAGAGTTCACTGTTTCTAGTGGCTGAGGGCCTTGCTTCCTCCCCACTAACTAGGGTAGGGAAGGCAGCACTAATGGACGACTAGAGGAAGAGAGAGAAAAACTCCTCAGTCTTCCAGAAATTGTCTAGGCCAGATGACTGACTTCAGGACAATCATTGATGGGGATTTTCCTGGGCTTAGATTCCACCCCTTCCCTACCTGAGGTCTCAAGGCCTAAGGTAAGTTTACCAACCCGGTATGTGTAGGGGATAGGGGGGTGAGCTGGGTAGCAGTATAATAGGGTCCTCAGTCCTCACCCACTCCGCAGCTCTTTTCTACCTGGGGGGGCAGGGTTAGGCAGGCCAGACTGGTTTGGGACTGGGGGCGGCCCCTTTGTGCCTCTCTCAGCTCCAAAGGAAATGACTGCCAAGTACTGGCTAACTGTTTCTCTTGAAAGTCAGGAGGAAGCGGCAAGAAAGAGCAGACTGCGTGCCCAAGCATGACTCTGTGGAGATGTGTGTGCTCATCACATGGAGTCTGGGATGTGGCCTGGCTCCTGGCCCTCAGAACCCCATGATGGCCCTCAGAAACCCCTGGCCTCCAGTTGTGGGGCCCAGTTCTGCACAAGGTTTCTGCGCATACTTCACTAGGTCTCTGGAGGGTGGGCAGCGGCATCGACCAGGCTATGTTGGCCCAGTTACCCAGGACCAACCCCCTGACCCTGGGCCCGGGACACTGGATGGCTGGGTGCCCCTGGAGTGGCACAGTGTCCACACCTGGCTCCCAGGCAGCAAGGGCTGGTGTGGTGCATCTGCCCTCCTCCCCTGGGCCCTGGGTGCCCCTCACCTTGAGCTGGGACTTGGAGACTTTGCCGCTCTTCTCCACGTCCAGCGCGGTAAAGGCGTACCAGATGGACTTGAGCAGTTCCTTGCGCAGGGCCATGGCTGAGGCGCCCGCCCGGCTGGGGGCGGCTCTGACACCAAGATCCGGTTTCAGGAAATGCAAACGGCTGCAGAGACCGCAGAGGGGCTGCGGTGGAGCGAGAGCTCCACCTGCCTGCTCACTCCGTGAGGCTCCGTGCTGGCAAGAACCCTGCCTGTTGCTCTGGCAGTGCTCAGAAGCTCCACTCCCTGCATGGGAACTGGGGACCAACTCTCTGAGAGTGGGAACCCTCGTTCTGTATCCACCTGGCTCCTGGGGCATGTGAGGCCCTTTTAGAAGCCTCCTCAGTCCTGGAGCCTTCTGGAGCCTTTTAGGGCTCCCAGAGGCAGCTTGCTGAGAAAAAAAGCAAGCTCATCCTGATATTGGAGTCAGACAGACTAAAGGTCCAGTCCTAGTTAAACATAGGAGGCCTTGGGTAAGTTACTTAATCTCCTTGAGCAGTTTTCTGATTGGTAAAGCAGGAAAAATGCCTCCGTGTTGTAAGAATGTCTGAGAATGGATGTAAAGCACATAGTAGGCTCTGGGTAGAGCTTTTGGTGCTACTTAATATTACCACGGTGGCGGGACTCCATCCAAGTGGAAGGAAACAAAGGCAGTATCACAAAGCTGGAGAAGGAAATGGGCCAGGGCACCTCTCCAGGTCAGGATGTGGCACTTGACTTGCTGGCTCCCTGTCCCCTCAGCATTGGCTCTAAACAGTATTCTGAGCACTGCCCACTGTAGCCTCAGAGGCCCTGAAGACACTAGGGACTTTCGGAAACACGCAGTGGTGAGCCTTGTGGTGCACCTCAACTTTAAGGGTCCCAGCAGCAGCAGGCTTGGGATTCAGGGCCCTCCACGTCAGTGCTTCCATTTCTTCAGATCCAGTGTCCAAAAGGACTGGGACACACCCACACCAGGAATGGTGATCACAGATGTTGAAAACATCTGCTCAGGCCAATTCTGAGACACTTCCCCTTACCCCCCAATCCAAATAAACATCCCTCCAACTAAGGTTCTGGGAATACCCCCTGCCTGGAAGCATGCCCCTGCCCCTATCTTCCCAAGGAGCTGGTAGCAAGAGTAAATGGGAGCTTTCTAGGCATCCTAGGAGAGGATGCCTGGATCAGAGGAGGGGGTTCCAATCCTAGGAGGCAGGAAGGGGTTGGGGCATATCCATCACAGCAGAGAGAGGAAAAGAGGCACCTCTAATCCCTGCAATGTTCCTTTCTAGGCAGAGTCAAACCCAGAGCTTCTTCCCATCAAGTGCCTTCCCCTGTATCCCTTCCTCCCGCCAAAGCTGATCTGGTCTCACCAACTCACTTTTGGGGCGTGGTTGTGGCTTTGAAATCCAATAGCACAGTCCTAGATACCTAGGTGGGCACCCACAGAGCTGGGTAATAGAGCCAAGACCAGCTCCAGAGGCATCAGACTCTGCTCCTTGAACCTCAGTAACCTTGGCAAAGGTGCCCCCCAGCCTCACTCTAACCTGGGGCTTTGCCCTCTTGGAGAAGCTGACTGTGTGATTTGGGGGTGGCTGGGTTGGAGGGGCTCTGACTAAATTCCACAAGAAAAGGCAGGAAAAGAGTTCCTCCAGATTAATCACCTGAGGCCCGAGATTCAGCCAGAGCCTGGAAGCAGCGGTCATCCTGGTCCTGTTTGGCCACCCTGGAGCCCACCTGCTTAGCTGTGGGCAAGAAGCCACCAGCAGCTCCTCAGGGCTTTATCTTATACTGGGCTTCCTTCCCATCTGTGTCCCTGGCAGGCCAGCCCCACCACTCTGGCACCAAGGCTGAGTGGGGTTTGTGCCAGGGAGACAGGGCTGAGAGCCTGACTTGACCAACCCTGCCACCCGGGCCTAGAGCTGAAAGGATGGAGGACCCAGGTGGAAATTTGGAACTTTTATTAAATACTCATTCATCCATGTGCCACCACCACCCAGAGCAGGAAAAAAATTATCAAAATGGAATTTAAAAAAAAACAAATCAAACCCAATCCCCAGCAGTCTATGTACAGGGCCACTCCCTACCTCTCTGCCATAGAGAGGTTGGGGGGCAACTGAGGAGTGGTGGGGGCTGGGCACCTTTTCTCCAGCCACAGGCCCCTGAGGAATTGACTGACTGTGGTGTCAGGAAGTCCCTGGTGCCAAGTACAGGCATCTCAGCTGGCCTCCAGAAAGGTGGTTATTGCTGGGAGGGCAGGACAGGGCCTGCTCTGCTGCTACTGGGCTGAAGAGCTGTCTGTGGCTCTCCCCTAGGGCCAGTTCCCATAGCAGCCCCAATCTCTACCTGAGAAGGAGAGCAGATGGAGGGCCAGAAGGGTGTTCTTTAGGAGAGCGGGCACCCAGCTGATTTTGAGAGGAGGGCACCCTGGTGTAGCTTGGTTTGTTGTCAGCTCCCGGGGATGATGCACTCCCGTGATTCCAGCTGCCTGGCCCCCATCTTGGGCAGGGTCCCCATTTCCTTCAGTTAGGCCATTTTCTTGCTGTCTTCTCACCCCAGAGACCTATGTGGCCACCTTCCATGTGTCAGCCACAGCTTGGGCCCTTGGGGGCAAGAGTGGCCATGCAGCATGGCACTTCCTCCAGCATGGTATGAGACCCAGCCCTCTTGGACTCAGCAGCCACTCTCCGACACTGTTGTCTCCAGGGTCACGGCCCCTTGCTGCATGGCCGCGGTGGCCACACTGATGGCCTCCTCTAAGGTCTGCTGTTCCTCCAGCTGTGGGGAAGGGGGTGCAGAAGGAAGGAGTGAGATCCTCCCTGCTAGATTCCAGTGTTAGTAGTATGTGGCCTACTTTTTTTTTTTTTACTCTCCCCCATCTATCCAGTGCCACACACTGAGCACTTAGTAGGGCTCCAATAAACATGAAGTTCACAGATGAAGAGTCCTATTAGGCTAGGCATGGCCAGGGCGCCCTGGAATAGTCAGGGTCAGAGAGACCAGCTTGCTCACGGAGGAAGGACTGGCTGAAGAGAACCGTGGTGATCATCTACTTCAGCCTCCTCAATTTCCAGATGAAGAAATAGAGACACAAAGAAAGACTTGGACCACAGGTAGACTGCCATCGGAGTTATCCTGAAGGCCAGAAGAGGCTTCAACATTCTGCCTCAGCCAAGAGTGAGCCTGAGACAGATGCATGGATGCAGGAGGAAAGGGATCTGTCCTCTGAAATGGGCTCTTTTTGAGTCAGATACCCTTCTCTTCAAGATCCTCATCTAATTCCCCTTTATTCCTTGTTGCCTTCTCTGGCCGTGGGATGCCCTTTCCTCCCAGATCTCTACTCACTTGCACTGCAATGTGCGTTCCGTTGGCTGTGGCCAACAGTGCCACCTGTTGATGACGAAGAGATGCTACACCTGAGTCCTCAGCCACCACAGCCCCAGAGGTAATGATTGTGACCTAAAAGGCAAAAGGAGGTCTTCCATTCCACCCGCAGTATACTCTCCCTCCCCACGATCCAAACAAACATCCCTCCAATTACGGTGCTGGGAACAACCCAGAAGAGAATGGATAAAACCATATGGGTCAGATTAATTAGCCTGAGGCTCAGATCTGAGTAAGGCTGGGTTTCCTCCCAACTTACAGCCCAATTTAATTTAGGGATTTTGAATCACAGGACAGAGCTGTAAAAAATTCCAGAGATATTTTAATCCTCTCACTTGAAGATGGACAGAAGTCCATGGAAAAGTGATTTGCCTAAGGTTGCAAAACAAGTCAGGGTTGAATTGAGATGTATAAAGTGTCTCTTAACCTCCATTCAACTGCTTTTAAAGATGAGAGCTGCTCATGGCCCAGGAACTGTGGGGAATCTTTGTCCTGGTAAGAAAGCTTGACTAGTTTAGAGTGCACTTTAATGCCCACCCCATGGAAAGGAATGACAAAATAAGAAACCCCAAGCAAACCCCCTGGTCATACGGGCTGCGTCTGGGTGCCATCGGCGCTGACCATGGTGACTGTATGTGTGCCAGATGTGGCCAGGTCGGCATCATGACTGGGGATGGTGAGAGTGGTGCTGCTGTGCTGGGTGACCATACTGATGGCACTCCCCAGGGCCTGGAGGTCTTCCGGGGACAGGCTGACCTGCCAACAGGAGGGGGAAGATGAGCTGGCAGTGTCAGTGGAGGGTTGTCTGAAAGTCCCTAAGGAAGATATACCTGCTCTCCCAGACAAGGTCAGCTTATTAGTTTCATGTCACAGTGGTGGAAGGGATGGGTGACAGGCAAACAAAATGGGTCCAAGGCTGCAAAGAGAGGCCACACTAGAAGAATTCCACTGCCTACTTCTATTTATCACCATTTCACCTCTGGGCCCTGTTGTATGTAGCTCAGGGTCGCCACCTGATTGTGTCCTAACAACTCTAGAAAGCACAGATGCACTTTCTAACAAGAGTATGGTTAGGTTATGCAGCTGGCTAGTACACTGGTAGGACCAGACCCCAGCTTTCAGACCCCATATCATGTTCTGGCTGCTATACGCACATGCCTCTCTCGAGAAGGACATCCCATGTCCTGTTCAGATGAACAGGACCTGTCAGCCTCCAAGTAAAAAGAGAAACTACTAACTGTGCTCCAGAAGCCCCAGAGACTGAGCTGGAAGCACAGGAGAAGAGGTTGCGCTACAAGATATGGTCCCCTCAGCCTCAGCCTCCGAGGTCTATAAAACTGAAACAGGAAGCTGGGTGGCAGTGGGGCTGTCAGAACTTCAAGGCTCCCAGAGTCCCCAGAGAGAGTGGAGAGTGCCAGCTAGTGTGGCACCTCTGTACTCCAGGGCCTGTACCTGCTGGGCACCATCCTGAGTGATCAGAGCCACCTGGGGGGCCCCATCTTCTTCGGTCACCATGGCCACTTGGGCTGGGATGTCATCACTCTCTTCCTTCACCTCCGAAAGGTAAGCTATCCGGGGTCGTTTGGGTGGCGGGCTCTCCTCGGCTGCAGAGGCGGCTGGGAGAGGAGAGCCAAGGCTGACACCTGCTACCAGATGCCATGGGGAGGCCTGGCTTGTCCCCACTCTCACTCCCTGCCCACTCCCCTTACCCTCAAGCTGCTGCTGCTCATAGAGGGCCTGCTCGCTCTCCTCCGTGGCCTCCAGCTCACCGTGGGCGCTGCGCTTGTGCATGGCCAAGGTGGAGGTCTGCCGGTAGGTCTTGCCGCAGGTGCTGCAGGTGTAGGGCTTGCAGTGTGTGTGCACCACGTGGTGCTTATACAAGCTCGAGTACTCGGTGAAGCGTTTCCCGCAGCCTGGCACCGTGCAAACGTATGGCTTCTCCCCTGGGGACACTGGGCTGTGAGGGGGGTGGGAACTGGGGCTGGCAAGGGGGAAACTAAGGGGACAGGGGTCAGGGACAGGGTTGGTGAAGGGAGAGCCAGAGGGAGGGAGAGGGACTGAGACCTGAGACTCTGAATGGACAGGGTTGGGGAAGATGGCCAGTGGAACACAGAGAGGACAAGAGTGTTGAACCACTGAATCCAGAGACAAGGTGGAAAGGAAATGGGGGACAGGGCAAGGCTGGGGCTAGTGAAGGGGCTGGTGGGGGCACTGGGGCTTACAAGGTTGAGGGTGGGAGGGTGAGAGTGGTGAACAGCAGAGGCAAGAGGCAAGGATGACTGAAGTATCAGTTGTGATGGGAAAGAGGGGACACACATGCTGAGAGACAACACGGAAAGCTGGACGAGGGCACACAACACTGGGGAGGGTGAGGATACACAGGAGTCATGGACGGCGGATAAGGTGAAGAGTTGAAGGCAACAGTTCACTCTGCTTCTTCCCCACCATTCCTGACCCTGGCCTCTTTTCAGGAGCTCAGTCAGAGTTGGAGAGTTCAGGGTGGGTGTAGAGGGGTGGTAGAGAGCTGAGGGACCCCAGAGAGGACTGGCAATACCTTTCAGATTGGATCTAACTGGAAATGGAGGAACTGCTCACTGCAAGTGGAGTTGTTCTGGAGAAACCCCGCCCCCAGACCAGCCTGGAATGGCTGGCACAGAAGGGTTCTGGGCTGGGAGTTGGGAATGTGTCTTAGATGGGAAGACTACAGTAGAGGGGTTGGGGCCTGAGCGAGGGTAGTCCTCGCATGCCAGCTAGCCCACCTGTGTGGATGCGCACATGATTCTTATAGTTGGTGGCACTGGTGAAGCCGCGGCCACAGTGGGGCTCCGGGCAGGTGTAGGGCCTCTCGCCTGTGTGGGTGCGCACATGTACCTTGCGGATGTTGGACGTGGTGAAGGAGCGGCCACAGCCCTCAAAAGGGCACCGGAACGGGCGTTCCCCTATGCAAATGGTGGAATGTGAGGAGGGGTGTGGGAAAGAGGGCCATGCCAGAGCAAGCAGGGGATGGTACCGGGCTCCAGGTCTAAGTCTGAAAGGCAAGCTGAATTCCTTTTGCCCAGGGAATGGGGTTGGAGTGGGCAGGGCCCAGCATACCAGTGTGGGTACGGACATGCTTCTGCAGGTCTCCTGAGGTCTTGAAGGCCTTGCTGCACAGCTCCTCTGGGCACTTGTATGGTTTCTCACCAGTGTGGGTA